ATTTATTTATTTATATGATATTTACAACCATATACAAAAAATACATCTTTTAAATTCGCACATGGATATAATGACATGGAACACATGTTGAGAAACTACCCATTGGTAGCACTCTAATAATATGTCTATATTAGAAAATCACGTGGCCATCTTCTTTTCAGACGTCTCGGAGGGTTATCAGGAATCGAATAGGAAGCAAGGTTAGAGACAAGAGGGTTGGGATGGTTATGAAGTTTATTATGGAAGTACAGATATCTGGATTGGGCCAAATCTGATACATAAGGAACATTAAGGTCATTATGGATAATTTTATTTGCAACAAAGTAAGGAGCATTGAGGATTTTACGAAGGATTTTGGATTGTAAGGATTGTATGCGAGAGGAATTTGAAGGTTTGATGGAGCCCCATAGCTCAACTCCGTAAGTCCAAATAGGCCTTATTATAGTCATGTAAATGAGTCTTTTATAATTATTGATTGGAAGGTTAGAACGTTTGTCCAGTAAGTGTTGAAGTAGGCGAAATCGTCGAGCTGTTTCTTGTCGTTTCAGTCTGGTATGAGGATTCCAAGTTATACGTTTGTCCAGATGGAGTCCTAGGTAACGGATTTGTTCAGCAGGAATAAGTGAGGTGTTGTTAAAGGATACTGAAGGACAGGAAGGCATTGGCTTACAAAAAATTAAACTTAAAACAAAAATTGAACATTTACAATTATCTACTTAAGGCCATATGGACCTACGCTTCACAAATTTACGTAACAGCCAAAACGGCCCACATACGAAAACTAAAAACTTTTCACTCTAAAACTTTCAGAACCATAACCAAAGCTCCATGGTACGTAATAAATAATTACATTACATAAAGACCTTCAAATGCCAACAGTTAACGATCACATACGTACGCACTACAAGCGATTTCACAATAACTTATATGAACATACTAACACACTTATGTATACGAGGTATGGCTACATTTAATATGAGCGAAAACACACTTAGGAGGCTCAAATGGAGCTGGATGAGGGATTTCCTAAAAGTATGCTAAAATCAAGACAGGAAGGGATGCCGCTGGGCACTCCCTCCAACACGCCGATCAATTCACTACTTGTACACATACGGACAGCAGACCCACTAATTGTCATCGCTTATGACAGGTGTGAGTGAATAAATGAACATTTTTCTAAGTATTCGGTATTATTAAAAAAAAATTAAATTCTACATATTTTCCTCCATACCCACAGTTTAATAAGAGACATAGCTACAGATGACCAACACCTGGATTTAAGGAGCAGACTAAAATGGCGCTGGATAAGAGATCTTCCATAAAAAACATAATGAGTGAATCAAACCAGGAAAAAGATACTGCTGGGTACTGTCCTCCCTACAGTCCTGCCTGACATATCATCATTTTCTAAAATATTTCAATATTAAAGTGGTTAATGTATTTTTTAAAAACACTGGTTAAAAGATTACTGGATCTAACAAGTTGCTCTCGAAGCACTAAGCTACTTGGATCAAACATTTTCATCAAGTTCGTTGTTAACGAATGCGTTGATTCGTTTCGAGATAAAACAATTCTGAAGCACAGAAAAATGGGGTGAAAATAAAAAATTTGAAATAGCACCTCCATCGCAGGTTGGGAGTTCGAGGGAGAGGACGGGAGGATTGGAAGTGGGGGGGGGGAGGGCTTGTTCTATGATGAATGGTCGAAGGGGATTACACAGCCGACCGGATCCACCCAACTCGTGATCGATGCTTCCGTCGACTCCCTCAAGGAGAAAAATTAGACAGAATCAGGGCGAGGTGGAATAATGTTCGGGAGCTTCGACATATGTTGGCCCTTTCATAACTGTTCTCTCGGACTTTGAGATATCGGAGGATCTCGTGAGGGCAGCTGCCGGGCAGGTGCTCTCTGCTTGCCTCACCGCCTTCCGTCTCGGTTATTTAAATGAAGTCGTCCGGAGTATCGGGTGTCCCGTTCGCCGCATCTGTCTGCTGTATTTAAAGGTTTAAAGAACTCCTGATAATTCATCCGACGATAAATTTTGACCCTATAGATAGATGATAGATAAGAGCGAGACGAAACCTGGTTGAATAAATTAAAGACGAGAACTGATTCCTTCTCATCAAGATCTCATCGAGCTAAACAGAAAGAAATATTTGCATACCCTTCATAAGATTTATGTGATTCAATTCGTTAGGATCACTAGCAGCTATTTATCGACTTTTATCCGCGGTATCCTTTTTTTGTAAATTATTAAAATGCTTTCAAATCTTCGTGAATGGCTTCGTATTATTCTAACCAACAACTTTGTTATCTACCCTAATTCTCAGAAATGGAGCGTTCATGAAATTAATTAATTTTACGAACAACTAAAAACTCATGAATACCTCCTCCACTCCTAAGTAGAATAGTAAATGTCATTTGTCTCATAGGCGCCGACTACTAAGGGCTCGCGGGGCTTGACCCCCACAAATGCCGCCATGGTAGGCGATCATTCTCCCTAACAAAGTCCTACAATTTGAACTTCATGAATATCTATTAAGTATTTAGGAACTCACTTAAACTACAAAAGGAATCGTTTATTAAAGTACTTTACTGTTTTAGTTTAAAGTATTTTGTGTGATCTAACACTTTTTTGCCATCAGAAAGAGCTTGAAAATACTCCATACCTTCCTGAGATGGTAATTATTCATATAGGTATATATTATATATCGCATATAGTCGTATATTGTATATCGCATATAGGGATATAGGATATATTCCAAACAATAGGCTCCCCATCCCTTGATCCTATAATCCTATAATAATTATTGGCCCTTCCAATAATTTTCATAAGTCGGCGCCTATGATCTTAGTGATGCACGCACTTCACCAGATTTTTCTATTCTGCAATTGTGAGTGTGACTTTACGTTTCTTCATATTCTTTCCATTGTAGAAATGTCGGATGTACCCATGAACATTTTTTTTAAATTGATTGAAGTGATAAGAGACAGACGCTCTCTCAATGGCATTACATTGCTTACGTAAACATTTTTGTCGATCTTGATATTTATTATCATTTTTTTTTATTTAAGAGACCAGCTGAGTTAATAGAAATGATAATTCTTTATTTTTTTTTAACAATAATAACAAACAACAATTAAAGTAAACTTGTAAAGTACTTTCTTGGCATTCTTAGCAGAAAAACTTGACATGAATTTCGAGGACAAATCTTTGGTTGAGAAACTCATGTCTTAAGGTGTATTTTGGGAGACTTTCGAAACATCCTACTAAACGGAGTAGGATCCCAAACATAATTTTCGGTATTAATAACATAAAATCTCACTAGCAGAACTCAAAGGTGTTATAACATAAAGCCGTACCACACGAATAGTTATAATCTAACAATTGAAAACTCGATTGACATTGTAATTTTCAGTCAATTATTACCCAATCGAGAGATTGTTCTGATATGGATATAATCGAGATCTTGGTCCCATAACTCATACGGGAAGGTGACAAGATAGAACTAAATTAATAACCTATTTTATGTGATGACGTGTAACAGCGTTGGCAGTTAATGATTTTATGACCACCTCTTTCCTCTTATTTATGACACAAAGCAAATTTATCATTATAATAATACAAATTGATATTAAACCATAAAGCGTTCCCCTTCCTCAATGTAAATAAAACAGGTGGCTAAGGACATAAAATATGGTTGTAAACAGGTGTGGAGGATATTGAAGTGATAACTTGTGCGAATGCGTGGGAATGGTGTAACAGCTTAACGATGTGACAAAAATATCTGCCCTTTTAGCAGGACGGGAAATTCATTTTTGTCAGCATTACTTTCCTGCCTTTGTTGTACTCTTTACTTAATATGTATGTGCCATAGATGTAGCTACTGAAATGATTACTAATGTTTTAAATCACTTCATTTATAGAAATAGTAAAGATAAACAGAAATAGAATTCAGTAAAAAAATCAAATTTATTTATTTACTTGTATTTGAGCATCATGTGCAACTACATAGGTTACAGGTACCTTATTAAATTTCATCTTAATTTCAATTTAATATCAAATAAAAATATATATATAAAAATATTGATATGTTTATAAATAATCTGTTGTTATAACTACATAAGTTATTTCGGGTGTGCAGATTAACTGTTATTATAAGGATTGTTAGTGTTGCCCAAAATCGGTCTTAGTTCTTTCACTTTGCAAGACGAAGACCAAGATAGCCTTACTGTTGCAAGACCAAGACCAAGGCTGGTAAAAAAAAAATCTTTTTTTTAAATAAAACTTAAGACAAAATAGTTATTATACTTAAGAATTATACTTATTATAGGTAGTGTTGCGTTAACCAAGATCAAGGCTGCCTAACTGTTGCAAGGCCAGGCCAGGACTTTTGAATTTTTTTGAATCGATTTTTTGAATAAAAATTAAGGCAAAATAGTAACTAATACTTGACAATCTCAGTTACTATATGTAGATAATTGGTATAACCAATATACGTTTGCATTTAACTTCTCTAATTTTTCATTCGGGATTAGTTAGGTTATCTCTGTAGTAATAAGCTAACAAGTAACTGCAAGTCTGCTGCGAGACTCTTGCGCAAGGCCAAGACCATGACCAAGACTGAGTTTGCAAGACCAAGACTGATCTCCGTCTCGCATTTGTGCTACAATAATTATAGGTAAAGAATTGGTATAAACAAAATACTTTTGCATTTAACTGTTCCAACTTTTCATTTGGACTTAGTTAGATTTCTACTGCCTGAAAAATTGCAATAATATCTCTATAGTAATAAGCGGTCAAATTTTTTGTACATATAGTGTGAATGTTATCCTACCTCACTATAACTAGTGTCCATGGGACAGATTGTTTAAACACTCAACAAATAAATTTAGAAAAACAATATATTTTACCATAACAATATTTTTTTTTTTCGTAGTTTCAATATATGTCACTGCTCAGACCCACGCAGCGTCGACTTATTCGACCTTTTCTATATTTAGTTCTGAGCTCTTCGATGGCAACGTTTTACCTCGTTTTCGGTGATAACAGTGTTCAATACATAGATAATACATGGTGGGAAGAAAGGAGGATAGAACGCAATAAACAAAGGTATAATTGAGTAATCAGTACCTGAAACATTATATAATTATCAGCTATATATTTTATTAAACTTATTTATTGATTGATCATAAGTAAATGACTACAAAACATAAGAGGACTTTCATAGAATGTATGTGGAGGGAGGCAGAAAGTAGCTTACTTACACAGTGCCGTAATATTCAACTTTCGCACTCTATCGAGAGTCATCGAAGAAGTGTGGTGGAAGGGGTTCATATTCAATCCATTCCATTAACCAAATAGGCTTTTGAAGGTTTTGGGAGAGGTTATGCTAAATTGTTTATGCATACTCGAGATCTTGGGCCATAGCGTCTTGTTTTTATTTTTATTTTTCCTTTTTCGTTTCATGGCTTCACTGACTTGTTTTTAATAACTTGATTCACAATTTTCAAAATTTATCCACATCATGTAATTGTAAATATACCTGTTAAGTTTTTTAAGTTTGTACGGTTCTCTTCAAATTGTAAATATACCTGTTAATTTTTCTTCTTTTAATCATAATGTTTTTTCAATTTTTCTTCTTGTAATTTTTAATATTTAAATTGTATTTTTTAAGTTTTCTTCTTTTAATATTAATTTTATTTTTTAAACCGTATTTTTAGATTATATTCTTGGAATCATTAACCTTTTATTTAAATGTCCTTGTTAACTGTTAACTTATCTTTATCTAATCTTTAATATTTAATTTTAATGGTTGTTGTACTTCATAATGTTTACACTGTACTCTTTAACTTCGCTTCTATTAATATTAATTTTTATTATTTAAAAATGTACTTTTTAGCTTTTGTTCCTAAAATTATTAACTTTTATTTTTATTATGTTTGTTAACTTATCTCCTTTTAAATCTTTAACTTTAAATTTTTATAACATTAATTCAATTGTACTATCATATTCATCTATTACTATTCTAAACTTTTTAAACTATTTGTTAGCTGTAGTTTTGTTATGTGTGTAGTAATTACTCAAAACATAATATTGGGCGAAAATTACCCAGGTGGTTGAAGAGCCCAAAACATTTATAAATAAATAAATAAATAACTTGATGATTGAATGCACTTATCTGTGCTAAATAAATCATAAGGGGTCACTTAATGTCAGTGAATTTTATTAGCATTAACCTTCTTTGTAAAAATGAAATGTTTCGAAAAGTAACTAAACCTTTTTATCGTATTGTTCTTTTTGAGTTATCAGGGAGGTTATGCGAGGTCAAATAGTGATATCACATTTGTACTAATCTGATTATCTAATATCTAGTTTTCTGTGCTTATTTTCTTGTTTATTTCGTGTTTATTATCGTTCATTAATTTTCTAGTTATTTTGTGTTATTTTTTGTATGTGTTTTGTTGTTATGGCTTAGTTTATTGTAAATATTATAAATAGCGAGGTTAGGAGTGGGACATTTCATTAACTTTCATACAGAGTAGATTCTTGTGAACTATTCTACAGTGGGTGGAAAGCACCATAGGAAGCCCTAGTGAAGATAGTTTATTTACTTGCTTGCGTAGGAACAAATTTAGTAAGTATATAGAGTACTAGACTTTTACTTTTACCACTAGTGATTCCTGCTGTTTGGGCAAGCCCATTCTAATAAGACATTTAAAAGTGTATTAAGAGACCCGTTAAGGTAAATGAAAACAATTTCAGGTGAATATAGTTCTTCATTTAGTTCTTTATTAGTTATAGTTTAAAAGTGGAAGGTTATAAATTGCAGATAACGTTATCTCAGTTATAATAAACCCTATGGTCAATATCGAGATGGAGGGGGTACAAAAGGAAGGAAATCTCTCAAGAGCAGTGGCAAAACGACCAAGGAGGGGCTCTTCTCATTTACCAGAGGATTTGGAAGAGACTAGTACTAAAAGCAAACTTTGCCAGGCTAAAGATATACAGGACAGCATCTCAATGGCCATTGAAAATAATGGAAAAAAATTAAGCTCTAGTGTCCGAGACCAGATTAATATCAAGGTACAATGCCTTGTTGATATTATTGAAAATCAGGAAAAGGAAAAAGAACAAGTTGGAGTCACGGCCATAGTTCAAAAGGCTATTTTGGACACGCTTTCGTCACAGAAGGTGCATGATGTATTGAAACAAATTTTAGTAGATAAATCTCCGCAAAAATATACCGATACACTCACCACGTCAATTGGAGCACCTCACCAAGAACCCAAACGTTCGAAGGAACCTCAGACACAAGCCGAAAAAAACATTAATCAGGCTGGATCCTCAGCTGCCTCTGAATCCTTCACGGTGGTGGTAAGTAAAAGGAAAAAGAAGAGAAACAACGCTACCAGCAAAAAAGAGCCTGATGCAAAGGAAAATCCAATCGACAAACAAGGTACAAAACCAAAATCAATAGCGGAAATAGTTAAATCATTGCCAGCTAAACCGACTCAAACGCCAAGACCTACATATGTCACTATCAGCGGAGTAGGCAAAACTCCGGTAGACATTATTAATGGCTTGCCATCGCCGGATGAAATAGGTGTGAAGGCGTCCATAGTCCGAGCGACAAAGGCAGGCTCTGTCTTGGTTCGCATGGATGATAGGTCCGAAGCCACCAAAGTAATCGGGTGGCAGGGGCTGCGTGAAAAAGGACTGCAAGCAAAACTTGCTATGAAGAAGAAGCCCAAGATGGAAGTAAAAGGTGTGCCTCAAAGCTGGACATCTATGCAGCTGTTGGAATTTCTATGGGGAAGAATATCTGAAAAATCGGGCGCCACAACACTTGTTCCTGATGACATTCGGCCTCTTTTCTCTTCAATAGCAAGGAATGGTTTTACTAAGAATTGGGTGATCGAAGTTCATCCAATGGTTAGATTTATACTCTTAGAGACAGCCAGCTTAGATGGAGGATGGTGGTCGATGTCCTTTAAAGACTACATCGACGCTCCACGGTGCACTAAGTGTCAGGGCTACGGTCATACTAAAGCAACTTGCCCAGTAGATGGCGTAGTCTGTATCTGGTGTGCAACTATTGGCCACATGCTTAAGGACTGCCCCCAAAAAAAAGAGTTGACTGGTCCGACCTGTATAAACTGCGAGCGGGCCAATGTCCCATCTAGCCAACGGAAGCATAAGGCAGGCAGTCGTGAATGCCCTGTGCACTTAAAGTGGGCCAAGGAGGTGGCAAAAAAGACTTTTTATGAATAGAATCACCATCCTCCAACTGAATATGGGCCGCCGACGCATCGTGGCAGATGAACTTCGAGCTCTCTCCCAGCGATTCGACGTCATGGCGGTCCAAGAACCATGCTGCCGTGGGAACATGGTCACGGGGTTCGGCCTCGCATCGAGGGTTATCGCCCTGAGCAGTGGAGAGAGGAGGCCCAGGGCGGCCATAGTGGTCAATAACCCAAACCTCGATGTGATGGATCTGAGGCAGTACACCACGCCGGATTATGTCGCTTGCTTCATCAGGTGGAGTAACGTTACTTTTACGCTAGTATCGGCTTACCTTCCTGATAGAAATGATATTAACGAAGACATATCCGCCATGGAGATGATCACAGCTTGTTCTCGAAATGTGATCATATGCTCAGATACCAACTCCTGGAACACGGTTTGGGGGTCCAATCGAACAAATAGAAGGGGTACTAAGCTCGGTGATTTCATATCTAGGAGTCAGCTAGTAGTAATTAACGATCCTTCTGCCATCCCTACATTCTCTAGTGCTAGGGGACAGAGTTGGATTGATGTGACTCTGGCATCACCGCAGCTGGCTAACCGCATCACCGATTGGGCCCTCGGATCTGATACGAGTTCCGACCATCACTCAATAGTGTTTAGTGTCGTAGAAAATGCGACACTTACAAGTTCCCACGGCATAACTAAAGGCTATATTACAAAAAGAGGAAACTGGAGTGCCTTCCGGTCCACGTTAGAGGGAAAACTCGTTGACAATGAATGGGATGCGGCGGAGACGGATCTGACTGATGACCTAGATTACAGAGTCTCCAGGATAACAGATATCATCTGTGATGCTGCTGAGGAAACCCTCCAGCACCGGAAGGCAAGAGCTCGACCAGTCCCATGGTGGACGCCGGCCCTCACTATTATGAAGAGAGAACTCTACAAGGCACGGCGGTCGTACCAGAGGTGTAGTTGTGACGAGAGGCGCACTACACTTCGTGACGAGTACAAGTCTAAGGCCAGGACATACCGAAACGAAGTGCGGTCACTAAAGCGGAAGTCTTGGGACGAGTTTATCGTTGAGGAGTCATCCAAGAACCCCTGGGGTATCCCTTACAGAGTGGCCCTGGCTAAGATGAGTCCACAACAGGTGATTGCTGCAATGAAGAGCGGCGATGCCCAGGCGACCACTCTGGAGGAGACGGCGAAAAATTTCATTATAGAGACCTTCCCCAGAGATGATCCATCCCAAGATGACGAGAGAGACGCGTTTATTAGACGCACTACGGTATGCCCACCCGGTACAGACTTGTGCCCACCCTGGGACATATGGGATCTCCGTACTGCCGTGGATAGACAAAGGCTTGGTCGTGCCCCAGGTATTGACAATATTGATACGGCAATCCTCCGAAATAGTATTCCCTACATTGAAGATCAACTCCTGGCAATATTCAATGATTGCTTAGATAGGGGCTACTTCCCAAAAAAGTGGAAAATTGCCGATCTCAGACTTATTTACAAGGGAGGTGACAAGGATAAACAAATGGCAAAGTCTTATAGGCCTATCTGTCTCCTCCCTGTTATGAGTAAGGTGTTGGAGAACATGATGGTCACGAGCCTACAGCCTATTTTTTCGAGAGCTTCCCATCCACGTCAGTATGGATGTACCAAAGGCAGGGGAACTGCAGATGCCCTGCTGAGAGTACGCCATGACGTTGAAGAGAAGGCGGAGAAGTATGTCATGCTCCTCTTGTTTGACATCACCTCCGCCTTCGATAGCGTATGGTGGCCAAGTGTACTCCAGCAGCTGCAGAAATACGAGACTCCTAGCAACTTGTACATTTTGATGAGAAGTTATCTCCAGGATAGAACGCTCCGAATAAGAGGTAATTTCTACGAAGTAGAAGATAGTATGGAGAAAGGCTGTCCACAGGGCTCTGTCCTTGGCCCTGCTCTGTGGAAACTTGTCTTCGACGAGTTGCTGGGTGTGCTCGAAGAAGAGCAGTTCTCCGCCACAGCTTTTGTGGATGATTTAGCCGTTGTGGTGGCGTCGAACAGCAGAGCCAGGTTGAAAGAAGAAGCTG